TCCATCAGAGCTTGGGCTGTTGCACAAGCTGGAAAAATTCTCGGTGGATGGAAACATGTTAACAGGAACCATACCAGAGGAACTGGGGGATGCCACCGATTTGAATTTCCTAGTGTTCATTCTCAACTCATTAACTGGGAATATCCCAGAATCTATTTGGCATCTCCCCTTGGATACTCTTGCTTTGGGGCAGAATCAACTCTCAGGAACCCTTCCTACGGAAATTGGGTTGCTGAGCAATCTCACCTATCTGTCTCTTTCTTACAATGGCTTCTCAGGAGAGATACCATCACAGATTGGCTTGTTGACTGATGTCATCAATGTGAATCTCTATTTCTCTAGCTTCACCGGCACCATCCCCACAGAGATTGGTCAGCTCTCTTCTGCTGATTATCTTGGTTTTTCTTCTTGTGCCTTCACTGGAACTATTCCCACTGAAGTGGGCCTCCTAACGGACTTGAGCCTCTTGTGGATGGATGGAAACAGCCTCACGGGATCAATTCCGAGTGAAATTGGTCAAAATATTCACATGGAAGGTTTGTCTCTTGGAACTTCCGACCTAACTGGGACACTGCCATCTGGGTTGGCGAATGCCCCATTGACCATGCTATTTCTGGAAAACTCTCTTCTGTCTGGCTCTCTCCCTGAAGGGCTCAGTCCAGATCTTATATATTTGTCACTGTCAAACAGCACATTCCTGACTGGCACAATCCCCCAAAACCTGACAAGCTTGGATTTCGTGTATGTGGATGGGACTGAGTTGTCAGGAATACTTCCAGAGTATCTCTGTGGAATTACGGATCTTGTCTTTGACTGCAGCCCTTTGTTATGTGGATGCAGTTGTCTTTGTGCCAATGAAACCAACAGCTCTGCAGCCTCCATGATAGTGGGTGCGAACAACGAAACACTGTGAGGATATGATCGGAGCGAGACTATGGCCATTTATCTATGATGTCATTGTGGCAGGCAGCTTGGCTGGAGATCCCTGCAGAGATTCCATGGTTCGAGGTCCAGGTTGTGGCCTAGTTAGCTAGTAGTAGTAAGCAATTAACCTTTTCATGCATGCATGATGAATCAACTCCCTTCTTGTGTTTTACCAAGATTTTGTAAACTGTCTATAAAGGTTTCTACAAGTGGCAATTGTGGATTTTGGAAGTACGAAGCTTGGTTCCGTTGCCACATAGCTAGCTGGTTATTGTCGTGTTTGTTCTTTTGCACGCATTGGATCCCCCGCAACGGACGCATATTGTCGTATCCCATGCCCGCCGTCTACGTCCAAGATGACTCCAGTGCAGAACTGAGCTGTCAACAAGTAGTACAGAGCGCCTCCCATGTCTCTGGGTTCGCCGATCTTCTGCAAAGGCAGGGAGAGGGCAGTGTTGGCAATCATCTTCGCCTTTCGATCTGGAGTCATGTGGTCAAACCGCTCTGTGTCACAGAATCCAGGGCTAAGACAGTTGCATCGTAACCGTGGCCCAAACTCCAATGCCAATGATTTAGTCAGACCTTCCAAGGCTCCGTTCGAAATGGCAAGGGGGGCACAGTTTATACCTGAGAAAAATCAGATTGATGTTGTATAATTACGGTAAGGAAGGAGAGTACAGCACAACCAAAAGAAAACTGGTTTCGACCGCCACCACACCTACCTGGTCTTCGATTTAAAATGCCTGCAACGAACACCACACAACCTCCGTCATTTAGCTTGACCGAGATGTACTTGGCACAATGATAGGCGGTCCAAAACTTGGATTCCATCATTCCTCGGGCATCGGAGGTTGGTAGTTCCGTGAAGGGCCCATGAGGTGCTCTTCCTGCCGCTGATATCACGAGACCGTCCCATGCACCCAACTCCAGTGATTCTGCAAATTCCTGCACTTCCTCCTCATTCGTAGCATCGACTACAGCGGTGTCGACAATGGCTGATGGGACCTCTGAAAGTAAATAGGACTTGGCTGTGGACAGCTTGTCTTTGGATCGACTCACCAGCATGCACTTCCCGCCATGCTCAATGGTGGCAAGAGCTGCTGCTTTCCCCATTCCCGAGGAACCACCGACAACAATCACATTTGGAGGAGTGCGGATAGATGATACCAAGGAAAGCGCAGCAGTCACGACCAAAGCAAGAAGCCACATTTGAAGGCGAAGTAGCAAGAGTCTTTTATAATGGTAGACGACAGCTAGAGTATTGCTGATCGAAGAGATGGCGTTTTCGCAGGCTTCTAAATTGCTTCGGCGGGCAAGATCTATCTTGATGTCGGGTTCCCGTCACTGACGTCAGCCTTCACGACTTCGGGATTTGGCTGGGTGACCCGGAAATGGGACCTAACCAGTAGTTTTAAGGACCCCACGCAACCATCTCGCTGGGGAAGGCCAGATATTCGAGAATCGAGCTTTTCTAGAGTTTAGTGGTTAATTTTAGCTCGAAACTAGAACAGTCTCTCCCGTCCCAAAAAGGAATCTTGGAATGAGGGAATCTCGCACCTCAAATGGCATCTCACCACCAACTTTTGTAGCAAATTCGGCTTTGACAGTTACGAGCTGTTTGTAGGTAACCAAATGGATCAGTTCAGAGATCAATCGTCTCGTACAATAGACTCACTATTTGGCACAGCAAAGATGTCTGACAAGCAACAGCCAACAAAGCCTCTTGTTACACCACATGCCACCAGACAGAACACCAACAGAAATGTAGGTATTAGAACTGGAACAGGCAACAGCTCCCAAGAGCATGGATTTGGCTCTCGTGGAGAAATCAATAATAGACACAGGAGGAAATCGGTATGATAGGAAAAGAGGCAACGACAACTGGCAATATGAGAACCTTGTACATGGTGCTCCTGCAAAGAAGCAATGTGTTAACTCACCACAAGCTACCGAGAATGACTGCAAGGAAACCACAATTGATTTAGCAACTTCTCCAACAGCAGAGGAAACTATCGAGGAAGATGCCGCTCAATCGGCATGTGTTTCAAAGGTGCCGCCTCCCTGTCGATACATTGTGGAGGCAGAACAACTCCATTCACTTATAAGCACTGCCACTGTTTGTTCTGGGTGTGACCAAAGGGGCAAGCTACAGTTAGAGTTCAAAACTGTTTGTCTTGCAACCATAATGACGCTTACCTGCCAGGAGTGTGGAGCCCAGACACAGGTTGAACCAGAGTTGACTGCGTACGGTTCAGAGCCAAGAAAGAATGGCAAGAAGACTTATCGGAATAGAGACTATTCCACCAATGTATGCTTCGTAACAGCTTTCACTGCCTGCGGGGATGGTCCAGCTGAAGCTGAAAGACTATGTACTTTCCTGGGACTGTCGAATGCTACGACCATGGCCAAGCAATCTTACAACAAAATAGAAGCTCATGTATGGCCTTCTGTACAACAGATTGTAGAAGAGGCAATGCGTGAGACACTTTTCAAAGAGGTGGAACAAACAATGGCTAATACCCCCGGTTTCGACTACAGCAAGTGGAAGCAGTGCTGTTTGGATGGAACCGACTTACCTGATACATGCATTCGTGCTCGAGTGAAAGTGTCTATGGATATGGGATGGAACAACCGTGGAGGAAGTGGCAGGAAGCATGACAGTCAAAGTGGTCATGCCCTGTTAGTTGGTTTGCATACAAGAAAAGCTGTTTGGTGGAGTGTCAAAAGCAGGCATTGTTCTTGCTGTGCACTTAGGGAATCAAAGAAGCTTCCCATCCAAGAGCACTCCTGTGCAAGGAATCACCACGACAGTTCTTCTTCCATGGAACCAGCAGCTTTGCTTGATATGATTCACTACCTGTGGGACACATTCAAATGTGAGGTGGATACAGTAGTTACAGACGATGACGCCGCGATGGAAGCCAACACGAAATGGTCCAACGAAGATTACAAGAGGCATCACAACTTACCAAGTACTCCCATTGTTGGATGGACAAAACCAAAGGATCCAGCAAAGACTAAACCCAAACCAATCAAGCGAAAGGGAGGGGGGCTGAAGTATCCAGTTCCAGTCCCCACTTGGGCATCTGACCTAGCTCATCGGAAGAAGTCTCTTCGGAACCAGTTGTATGACATGAAGAAACCTGGTTTGTACAAGAGCTACGGACTTGTCGAGGGTGACATCATTCGTCTCTGTCTCTCATTCGTGTACATGCTGCGACAACTCCATGGAATACCAGAGTCAGAGTATGAGAACAGAGGCAAGGCCGTGCTGGAACATCACTTTGACAACCATGAATTTTGTGGAGAGTTCTGCAAGAGGAAGAATCAAAGTCAAGAAGAGCGTGAGTCATCGCCGAAGATATACCGTTGTAAGACCAAGAACAAGAATCTGTACAGCTCGCTGAAACCTGTTCTGGATCATTTTGTCCAAGTGGACCGGCTGAAGGAATGTGCACATGGGTCTGACACTCAAGTAAACGAGTCGATGAACAATGTCATCTCTTGGTTCACTCCCAAGAACAAGACTTACTCTGGAACACTGTCAATTCCAATCCGAATTGGTATGGCAGTAGCGGTGAGCATATTGGGATGGGATATTTTCTTTGCATCATTGTACGAGTCTCTTGGCATCAAAATGAGCGATAGTACACTCCACGCTCTCCATGTTCGTGAGAATGATCGACAGGCAAGATTGGCGAGGGAGAAAACGACCAAGTACAAAAAGTCAAGGATGGAGAAGATCTACTTGAAACTGAAGGAATACCATGCGAAGGTCAAGGATGACATTGAGAAAGGAAGGAACTACGAGAGCGGTCAGCGGATGAAAAGAGATCATGGTGACGAAAATAGTAAGAAAGCAGGACCAAATCAGCGAGTGTGTGTTCTTTGCTGTGGAGAGAGTGGCCACCTCAGCAAACGGAGTAAACGATGTAAGTTTCATGGGAAAAGGACGCAGACAGTGTCACTTGATAGAGGGGCAACATCCGATTTGAGCGAGCCAAGCACAAGCGAGCCCCAGATTATCGCTGATACACTCGATTTGTTAGACTGTGTGGCGATCGGAGACGTGCGGGACGACACAGAAAGGGATGCGTTGGCTTCTATTGAAGAGGCTGCTGGCTTAGTTGAACCTTCCGAATGATAAAGGGTAGCTAGACAGACTGTGTAAATGGCAACTCCATGACAAATAGAAATGTTTCTACTAAACTTAGACACTACTCTGATCACCTCTCATTGTCCGTTGGTCGCATTTTCCTACTTCTTTTTGCGAACCCAAAATGTTCGCAAACTATCAACGGAAGATTGGCTTCGCCAATCCTCAAATATGGGCCACAAATCCGATGTGTGGCTCTCCATTCTTGTTAGGATAAACTGCGCGAATTTTATCAACGAAGCAAGTGGCAGAGGGGAACGGCTTCCACGGATCTGGTACACATTGACTGCATACCACCAATACATACACCAACGCCTGTGCCTGGGTTCCAAGTCAGAGAAGAAGGCAGCATCCGAGGCAGAGGCAAAGCGGCGGGAGCACGACAAGAAGATCTGGTTTTCATCCAAGGTACATGGTGGAATCATTTTGACAACACATCCATCCATTCCATGCTTCGTAATACACTCACACTTGGCTTCTGATTCCACAGAACTCGATTCTTCATCATACTCTCCATATCCGTACTTGGGTGGAATCTGCCACATGGGATCGACCCAAAGCTTCCGGTCAGCAGGGAGGCACCCATGCAAGACGAAGTCAATCCAGGCGGCATGCGTGCGCTTGTGCAGGATCCATTCCCCTTTGGCGAAACTCTGAACCGAGTGAGAGAAGTTTACCAACTTGTTTGGGTTTGGAACGGTAGGACAGTCAACATGGGTTGGCTCTGTGAAAAGGACCATTCCGCTGTTGCGACAAAACAGGGCACTTGATCGGTCATAGCACATGCTATGGGGTGTGGTCTCTTCGGTATCCACAATGTTGGATGACTCACTGCCGAAGTTGATTCGGCGAGCAACTGGTTTGATTCCAGCTCCCACAGGTTCGATGATTGGTCGATCGGGTGGTAGCTTCCAGTCAAGTTCTTCAACAACAAACACTTCTTCCACCCACAGTCATTCTCAGTGTAAAGTTCGAGCACACGATATTCCTTCAACACAAGGGTGGTACCAGTCATGATGTCTTGACGCTTCAACAGAGAAGAAAGTGAGCTGTTGGTCACAGCTTTGATGAAGGTCTCCGATCCATCCATGAGAACAAGATCATACACAATGACCGGCAACTGGTTCTTGCCCTTCCCATAGGAGCGAGTGACACGAAAAGCTTCAACAACAACAAGCCTTGGGTAGTAGTCATCACTGCGATGGATCTTCCCATCTACATAAGCCTTCACTTTTGGACTGTCCGTCTTATGAAGAATCAAGTCAGTCACCCAATCTGGGGATGCATCATTGTGATGCTTCAGCATCTGGTAGCGATCAGATCCTTCCATGGCTGAAGCTTCCTTTGATAATGATTTGATTGTGCCTTTTCCATTGGCAATGGTTAGCTGTTTCTTTTGGATTCGGCACAGCATTTTGTGGCAGACATGTTCAATCCAATCTCAACGGATGAGACCTCCACGAGATCCGTCATGTACAATTACTACCAAAATGACAATGCCGAAAACCAAGATTCCATCTTCCACCCACGATGCGTCCTTGGGGTGATGCTCAACAGCAAACGAAAAATTCGGCAGAAGATGATATTTTCCCTCCTACTGACTGGCGCCGAAATGTTGTTGTGTAAGTATCACCATACCAACCAAATGACGATTCCTTGTTATGGCTGGAAAGCTAAAAGTCTCCTCTTTCTAGCGCAGTATAGGACAACAGCCGCAATGGCGTGTGGGTGGAGCTGGCTGGCTGACTAACAGCGATTGGGCCATTTTTGACACCTCTGAGAACACTAACAACAAGCAAAATGGATACAGCCTTGCGGCTGTTGTCCTGTACTGCGCTAGAAAGAGGAGACTTTTAGCGTCATGCTGATGTAATCCAATCCAAATTTGGCCAACCACAGCAAAGATGACAGCACCGACAAGTCAGCATGAGAAGCCCCTGTCATGATCTTCGATTTACTAGTTGTTGTCGAGGTAAAATAAAGATTTGGCTCAGTCACGATGAAATGGGACTAGATGGTTGCGTGGGGTCCTTAACTGTTTACGATTTGTCATAGTTTATCCATGACTGTTTATCCATGAGTTAAATCCTACAAGGATTCACTAGTTTAGTCATGAGTAAACAAGACTTTAAC